TTCAGCTCGGAAGTTTTGCAACTCTGTTTCGTCGCTAAGTGCGGCCTAATTTTCTATGTACGCACTGAAAAGAGTTTAAGGAAGGTGGAGACGGGTTAAAGATTTTACTTCAGACGCTCGGTTTTGCGTATGATGTTATATTCATAGCTCAAAACCCGGAAGCGCTGCAGGATTTATTAGCTGAACTGACACAAATTTTGACGTTGTTAAATTGTGAATTCGTAGTGGAGGAGCTGAACAGATAGCGAGTCGACAGTGCTCGTGGTATGACAGAAGTCTTAAAAATGTTGCGGGCACATGTTCACATTGGTAAGCGATGTGACTTGCGTGAGGTAATCGAGTGGAAGAAGATATACTAGCACTCTGTCACATGACGGCACAATTTTTCGACATCACTATTCTTCCCTTTTGTGCATTTTTTGCTTCTGTGCAATTTAAAAGCACATATTGTCGAGGAGTTTTCTGTGTATGTGTGTATTTGTTTGTGTATGTGCGTTTGCGTAACATATACCCGGGTTTTTCGATTTACAGAGGAACGGAAACTACAAAGCTGAAAGATTGGCAACTTAGTTTGCAACTGTGTACAAGACCCTAGATACAGAATGAGCGTTCATTCCCTCAAGTTCTTATGTATGAACACGTAAAAAGTTTTTTGGAAGGCAAGTTATTTCTAGAAGCACACAAGTCAAAAGGCTGGGACTTCTAATCGATGAAAAACTATCCAGATGCGTAGTCGATGGGAAAGTAGCCAGCTGCGCAAGTGAAGATCTTGACTTCCAAGTAAATACTGTTTCGGGGAAGTTTGCGCTGCTTCAGTCAAATTTGAAGCCTACTGTGGTTTTTGCACCCCTCCCTCCCTTGGTCTTTGTTTTTTTTCGCCAGTTTTCTCTTGCGCAGACAGTTTTAGCTTACCCACCATGTATGCAGTAGGCAGCGCCTCCCTCATTCACTTCATTCAAATCAGCTGATAATGCCAATGCAGAATTCCCCATATTCCCATGAATTAATTTTGTATTATTTCGAATCACTTACTGTCACAATAAACAAATGTTCTGCAACAAAAAATCCGAACAATCCAAAACTTTATTGGTCGCTTTCAGCTCATATGATTTGCCTTTGCCGTAAATACTTCGTTAGTTGTGTGCTATTTTAGGGCTCAGTCTCATCAGCATGAGCAGACGCTTCGACACGTTTCCTCATCACCAGTAATTCGTAGTACCACCCTAGTGACGAAGCAGATGACTGTCGAGCAGATTCGGAAATGCGACAACTCGCCCTCACGAGATGCCGCCTTTTCTTATGACTCCAAAAAATATCTTGCAAGGCATGGTATCATTTCCGGTAATGCTTCAACTTTTCTAATTTGAGCGGTTCTTCAGCTCTTCATTTAGCGAATACACCATGATGGCATGCATCTCGGCATTCTCTTACTTCGTAAAGTTCGTTTTCCAAAAGTACTGTTTAGCACTCGATGATGATGATGGTGATGATGATGAAAGTGTGTGCGGAGCAGTTTTTGCTAAACGGTCTGAGTTACCGCTTTCTGATTATCAGCCGGGTAATTCAATGACTTACTATTCGAAACGTGAAAAATGCAATAGCCGTGCAGCGACACTGTGGCCGAGTCTTCCACGAAATTACGGTGCGGGTCACGATTATGGCAAGGAAAGGCAATTTAATGGGGGAAAAAGATTGCCGGGAATTGCCATGAATGATGTATTTTATCAAGTGAGTTGTAACAAGTCACTTCTCACCTTTTGCCAATATAAGACAGTTTTCTTACCGTAGTGGTATATTTCTTTTAATTCCTAATACGATTTTGGGTAACATAATGAATTTACGTCCTTCCTTCTGAGCAACACTCCTGCGTTGATAGTTTATTTGGGTAGACATCTCTTAAGGAAGAGGCCATAGTCAGCTTCGTAATACTTTGCGTGTATTTGTACTTCGGCTATTCTATGGAAGTGGGTTTATTTGGTATCTCTGAAGTGCCGAATTTTTTCTGGTTCTTCAAGCTGTCTGTTGCTAGTTTCTTCTCAGCACTTACTTTCTACTTATTTCGATGTTAAGGGTAGTGTTGAGGTAGGTTTTTTTACTTTTTCCGCCCAAATGTCGTATTTTGTAAACTTTTTTTGAGGAATTTCTATAGCATTTTTGGCACTGACTACCAATAAAAAAAGCTGTGAGAAACCGAAAAAATCTCTTCTTTGTCTATCATTTTTCGTTTTGCACTCATGATATTTAAAGATTGATCATTTCGATACGGACGAGGGTGAGAGTGTAAATGATATCATTGAAATAAGTGATGATTCGGAAGATGGGGAACCACCGCGTACAGCAAATGCTGCTAAAATACAATCGTTTCGTGAAATAAGAGCGTGGCGAGGTAAGAAAAATTTGGCTTGATTTTGCTTTTTCTTCGATTAGTCACAGTTTGTTTACTATTAATGCTCGTCTTTTATTTAGTTTGTTAAATCTGAAATAGCAAATGTTCGAAGTTATTTCAGGCACCAGCCAGAAGAATTGTCGAAAAAATGATGATGTGGGGTGTTGCGTAAAGCAGAATTTGAACAAGTCCACACGGAACTGACAGTTTTCCTCATATGAATAAGTCCTTGCACCGGCCAGACAGCAGTTACTGATTTTGAAGAATGTTATTTTACCTTTAACAGTGTCAACACATGCAGTTTCTAGTTTGTTCAGCAGATATACCGGTGCTCATTTCATTTCCAAATTCGGTATTAATTTCTGAATCGTGCATCTCAGCAGCTGGTACTGAGGCTGGAAGCTTGCAGGGGACATGGCAGTCTTTTCCGAGTCAACTGGGAGGTGCTGTCTTGATCTAGGTAACAGTAAATGTGGGTTAGGAAATGAATGCTCTTAACACTGAATTTGAAATCTGTTTGTAAAAAGTGCTGCTTTTTCTGACTCTTGAAGTGGGGAATTATGATGCAGTTTTTTATAGTTTTGTAGGGAACACCTTACGAACTTGGTCCATTGTGCTGGGTAGTTTTTTCTATCCGGAAGTGCGTGAATCATCTTACTGGCCGCCATTTTAGAAGCATCTGAATATTTAACTTTGCACTACTGCGCGCTACGATTTTATGCTTCACGCGACTTCTGGCAACTTTACGTTTGTGTAGTGAAAGAAACATTTTTTCCTCCTTTGTTTCAACCTGTAGAAAATTTGAAAAAAAGAAAAAAAAAAAAAAAAAACTCGCAACGGTGGCTAGCGTAAGAAGCTACGGAGGATCGTCTT